CAGCGGTGCGGCCGGTCACCTGCAGCAGTGCTCCCGCCGCGGGTTCGGATCCTATATAGGGATGACCGTTGCGCCCACAGCGCTCACTGGCTGAGTGGGGGGCGGCCGGTCTCACCGGTCACCAAAAAAAAAAAAAAAATGAAAAGGCAAGTCACACATATATATGTGGGAGAATATATTTGTAATACATATATCTGACAAAAGGCTTGTATCTACAGTATAATATAAAGTATGCTTCTAACCTGAAAATAAAACAACCAAAAAACCCACGTTTAAGAAATGGGCAAATGATTTGTTGGTTTTGTTTTTCTTTTTTTTTAAGTCAATTTTATTGAGGTATAATTTATATACAAGAAAATTTACCAATTTTAAGTATATGTGTAATTCAATGACTTTTGACAGATATATACAATCATGTAACCACCGCAATTGTTATATAGAACATTACTCCAAAAAAATGCTCCTGTACCACCTTTGCTGTCTATCCCCTCCCCCTAACCCCTGGATCCTAACAACTACTGGTTTATTTTCTGTCACTATAGTTTTGCCTTTTTTAGAATTTCATGTAAATGGAATCATTCATTATCTAGTCTTCTACATCTAGCATCTTTTATCTAGCATAATGCTTTTGAGATTCATCCATGATGTGGGCAAATGGTTTGGAGAGATACTTTTTAAAGGAAGATACAAGAATGTGCTGTGAGTACATGCAAAGGTGCTCAACATTATTAGTCATCAGGGAAATTCAAATTAAAACCACAATGAGATAATATTTCACACCCAGTGTAAGGACAAAAATGAGAAAAACTGATAATACCAAATGTCTGCAAGGATGAGCAGCAACTAGAACTCTCATACATTGCTGGTGGGAATATAAAACGATACGACCACTTTGGAAATAATTTGGCAGATACTCACAAACCTAAACATAAACTTATCATATGATCTAGCAGTTCCATACTTAGGTATTTACCCAAGAGAAATGAAAACCTATGTCCACAAAAAGATTTATCTTTGAATGTTCACAGCATATTTTTTGTAATGGCCAAAACCAATCCAAATGCCCACCAACGTGTGCATGCATAAACAAACTGTGATTTATTCATTCAGTGAACCACTATTCATCAATTTAAAAAAAGAATAAGCTACTGACACCCACAACAATATGTATGAATCTCACAAACGTGATGCTGAGTAAAAGAAGCCAGACACAAAAGTGTACACACTGAATAACTCCATGTTTCCAAATTTTTAGAAGAGGTAAAAACTAATCTACAGTGATGGAAATCAGATCAGGGGTTGACTGGAGTTAGGAATGAGCACAAGACCACAAGGGAATTTCTGGGGTAACGGAGATGTTCTATATCATCATTGTGGTGGTGATTAATTACACAGGTATATATATTTGTCAGATCTCATTGAACAACACATTTAAAATGTATGCATTATATGTGTGATGATTAATTTTAGGTGTCGGCCTGACTGGATTAAGGCACTGGTAAAGCATTACTTCTGGGTGTATTTATGAAGGTACTGTGAGTCAGTGGACTGAGTGGGGAAGATCTGCCCTCAGTGTGAGTGGGCACCAGCTAATCAGCTAGCAATCTGGATAGAACAACAAAGGAGAGAAAACTCTCTCTCTCCTGGAGCTGGGATACTCTCCTACTCCTGCCATTGCACATCAGAATTCCGGACTCTCTGGCCTTGGGACTCCAGGACTTACACCAGTGTCCCACCCCTTGTTCTCAGGCCTTTGCCCCTGGACTGAGAATTACACTATTGGCTATGCTGGTTCTAAGGTTTCTGGACTTGGACTGAGTCACATTTTCAGCATCCCAGGTCTTCTCCAGCTTGCAGATAGCCACCCCTTGTTCTCAGGCCTTTGCCCCTGGACTGAGAATTACACTATTGGCTATGCTGGTTCTGAGGTTTCTGGACTTGGACTGAGTCACATTTTCAGCATCCCAGGTCTTCTCCAGCTTGCAGATAGCTTGTCGTGGGACTTCTCAGCCTGTATAATCACATGAGCCAATTCCCTTAACAGATGCCCTTTCATATAACTGTCTGTCTATATATATATCCTATTAGTTCTGTCTCTCTGCAGAACGCTGACTAATACAACATGTAAGTTATACTTTAATAAAGTTGATTAAAAACAAAGACATGCACATCTAGATCTGTTCTAAAGTTTTTAATTACATAAGTTAAAAAAAATACTATGAGCATCTAGGCAGGAAATTTAGACTACTTACAAAGAATAAAAAAATTTGATATCGGATTTCTCCTCAGAAATGCTAAATAAGAGAGGACAGAGAAAACATTTATAGTCATTAAAGAGAGAAAATAAGTGACTTGAGAATTTTATACCTAGCCAGGGATTGTTGATAAGTAAATATAACAAAAAGTCAGTCTAAATATGGGGGAGCTCAGAAAATAAACCATACATCCACTTTAAAAAATTAAAGCCATTTCCCAACTGAGAGATGATTTAAACTCAAGAGCTCAAGAATGAAGAGAGTCTAAATATCTACTACAATATGATTTGAAACTGACTGAAAACGTAAAATAATAATAGCAATTCCTAGAAGAGAAGATATAATACAAAAACAAAATATAGAAATAATGAGTCTCAAATACCAACTTTTATTAGTTAAAACTGGGGAATGTGTGTGAGGAAAGACAATGGAGATAAATACCATTAAATTCCTTATTGATATGGAGTGAAGTCCAGAGCTATTGGTCCACTAAATGGTGAAACATCTATTTATGGTATACTGTCGTCAGAAAAATAATGAGGAAGCTCTTTATATTCTAATACAAAGTATCTATGAAGTAAATTTATTGTAAGGGGGGAAGCACAATACAAAAGTGTATATAGCATGCTATGATTTAGTATAACAAAAAAGAAAAAATGTTATTCAGAGGAAATTGGTGAATTGATTGCCTCAGGGGAGGGTTGCTGGTTGGCTGGGAAATAAGGGTAAGAAGGAGACCTTATTGCAAATGTCTCATCCTTTGTTCATTTGTAAATGAACCATGTAAATGTTAACTATTTTTAAAAATTAAAATTTTAAATTATTATTTGCCTGTTTTGCTTCGACTTTAAGAATCAAGTAAATACTCACTGAAGACTTTAGTACATATGTAAATCCAGCTTCTAAAAAAGAAGAAATAACAAATCAGAAAGCACTCAATAAATGATTTTGGAGCAACTGGTTTTGTATTTGGAAAAAAAGATGTTTAGTTCTCATTTCACAGCACTAATGAGAATAAACGACAGACAGATTAAAGACTTAAACTACAAAATTAAACTATAAAAATATTAGAACAAAACAGGTGAACCTCAGGACAAAGAAAGACTTTCCAAGAGAAACCTGGTAAATTCAATATCATAAAAGTTTAAATCTCCTATAGATCAGAAACATTATATAAAATTAAAAGGCATACTAAAAACTGAGAAAAATACTTTTCACAAATATGATGAGATTAATATCCTTATTTTTTTAAAGAGCCAATCAAGTTTAAAAATATGACAAACATTCAAAAACCTCACTAAGTCCTCAGTCTAAAAGTGAGCAAAGAAAATGAATACATAGAGATGAAAATAGTTAAGAAACATATAAAGACATGAGACACTCATTGATAACCAAAGTAACTGAGAGAGAACCTCTCAATTAAAGAGACCTCTTGCCTATCAGATGAGCAAAGTTCCAGGAAACAGGAACCCTTGTGACTACTCATGGGGTGTAAATTGGCACAACTTTCTAGAAAATGATATTGGATATGTACCAACAGCCTTAAACATGTTCAGAATTTTGATTCAATAATTCTAATTTTATGCAAAATGTCTCCTCAGGTATTTAATACAACTTTATTTAGAATAGGAAAAAAAAAACCTGGAAGCAATCAAAATGTTTAAAAATATGGAAATGTTAGATAAATCCTGATATATTCATACAATAAAATATTGTGCCAACATTAAAATCACCTTTTAAAAAAACTTAATAACCTGAAAAACATTCAAGATGCACTGTAAGTGAAAAAAGCAGAATAAACACTACTACATGCTTCGGCAACAATTTTGGAATGAAAATACATACTAAACATAAATAGTTTAACTTTATATTTTAAAGTTCCTATAACCATGGGGAAGGAGACACCATATTTTAAACAAAGAAATATTGGGGCCGGCCCGGTGGCGCACTGGATAGTGCGCCGCTTGGGAAGCGCGGCGGCGCTCCCGCCCGAGGGTTCGGATCCCACATACAGACCGGTTCCCGCTCACTGGCTGAGCGAGGTGCGGGAGCGACACCGAGGGTTGCAATCCCGTTGCCGGTCCCCGGTCCGGTACGGGGGCAACACTGAGGGTTGCGATCCGTTGCCGGACACGGAAAAAGACAAAAGACAAAAGACAAAAAAAAAAACAAAGAAATATTATAATGACAAAAATTTGACCTGGTATCAACATACTCAGGATTTCAACTAAGAGTTATCACAATAAGCAAGTAATTCACAGATAAAACCTGGCTGAGGCCTTCTATCTTTCTGATACATCTTGGTTCAGAACTTGGTCCTGCACCAGGACACCTCCAATGGGCGACACCAGGAGCTATCCCTCACACGAGGAACAACCGTGTACAGACACCATGAGCGCACCACAGATAACAAGGCTGTAATGCTGTTTCCATGACACACTTCCTGCCCAGAGAAGCTTCAACCAAGACCACCCACTGATGGCCACAAACCACCAGGTAAAAACAACTACTAGTAACCTATGAATTGATAACTCTGGCGTGAAGAGCCCCAAATCCCATGCCTAGGCTCCTAAGTGCTCCTCCCCTTCCCCTGCTTGTTTTCTCTGGCAGGATGTTTTATAGTATGTTCATTTCCAACCCAACTAATAAAGGAGCTCTTTAAAGTTTAGAAAAACACTGCTTATTGGGTTCCTGGGTCCAGCATGTATGCAGTACATAAATAAGCAAAGAACACATGTACAGTACCTTCCCGAAGCTGTGCTGGCTTGGCAGAATTTTCCCCGCTCATTAAAACAACAAAAGATGCAGCTGCTCGAACTGTAGCCTGCCATGTTGACATGGCAACGGGTGGCTCCTGGCATGGAAAAAGGGCCCTGTTGTTTATGGGAGATCCCATAGTATAAACACATGGCCTGCAGAAGAAAGACAAAGAAACAAAGAGAGAGAATCTTTACGATGAGTTGTCACTTTTCTCACCACCATGGTAGTGAAGGTTAAGTTGAGCTTTCAGAGAGAGAACATTTGAGGGTTTGTAGTTGACTGATTTCAAAGCATTTTGAACTGAAACTGCCAAGGGCTGGCTATGTGAATAGCTGAGGGATTATTTCTCCCAAATGAATTACTTAAATATGTAAAAAGGGTTGGGTTTTTTTTTAAGGAGAAAAATATTTTTTGGATAAAGTTTTAAATACTAGTCTGCCAAGTTATAATTTATATTACTCTTGCCCCCTTAGGCCCTTATGCCTTCAAAAGAAAAAAGTTTGAGACATTCTTACAAACCTTTTAGAAAGTATTCTGGGAAAAAAATATGTTTGGAGATCACTGAGATATTAATGCTTGGAAAAACAAGCTGGTGGTCTCAAATCCAGTGCTGGCGGCCAGACACCCCAATCTTGGAAACCACCATCTCAAATGGAACCCTTGTGGGAATCCTTGTGTGGGGGCCAAGAACAGGGGCTGGCATACAAACAGGACTGTAGGTCACAACAACCAGGCTTGTGATGGGAAGGGAAAGTGTACAGAGTTGTAACCAAAGAAAGTGTACAAAACCAATGGCATGGCATTGGGGCTGGTTCTGCCACAATTAAAAAATACAGACCCACCCAAACCAAGAAAGATCCTTTCCATGATTAGTCATGGTTGACGGAGATGGAAAAGAAGTACAAGAAGAAAGGAATCCATTCTTTGGATACCACAGAGTAGAAGCAAAGAGAGGTGTATTCCCATTGCCCCAGGTAGTTATAACTCCTGCGACAATGGCACACACTGAGAATCAAGGCTTTCTTTCTCACTGAGACAGAATGGACCCCACGATTTTTCTTAGTTTAAGAGCTCCAGGAAGCCACTTCTAATCTATGCAGACTTGTGGAGTTAAACCTATTTGTGATGCTTACAGGGAAGTGACAGGCCCTTGCCTAGCCCTCTCCTAAGACTTTCTCTGCCTCATGCATGGGGTGGGGGCTGACCCATATTGTGGTCTGATGTCCTAAGGTTCTTAGGCCAAGTCTGAAAATGTCTGTGCTCTCAGCTTCTCAGCACCTCATTTGCCTAGGGTGACTCTGCTGTTGCACAGGAAACAAGTCTTCCTCAAAAGACTGGCTTGCTAAGATGCTGGTCTCCTTCTCCCTATAAGGTTGGCTTGGAGGCCATGCTAGCATGCTATTAGGCATTCCACCTCTGCCCTTCGGTATGTGGTCCCCACGGCTTCCTCCAGCCTCCACACTTCTTCCCTGAAGAAACAATCAGATTTGAGATGAGGTCATATCTGGAATACTGCAGAGGAAGAATCAGAACGACTTAGTGAAAAGGATTTAGAAGGAGAAGGAACATAAGACCTTTCTGAGGTCACCAGCTTCCAAGGTGGCCCCCAATGACCCATTTCCTGGTATTCATACCCCTGTGTAGTCCCCTCCCCCATTATACCAGCATTGGTCTGTGTGACCAACAGGATATGACAGAAATGATAGCATTCATGTCACTTCCGAGATTAGATCATTAAAAATCTGTGGTTTTCATCTCAGAGGTTCTTTTCTCTCCCTCCCATCATTTGCTCTCAGGGGATCCAGCTGCCGTGTCATGAGGACAGTGGACAGCGGCCCACGTGGTGAAGAATGGAGACCTCTAGCCAGTAGACAGTGAGGAACTGAGGCCTGCAACAGCCACACGAGGGGTCTGGAAGAGGATCTTGTAGCTCCAGTCCAGGCTTGAGATGCTGCAGCCCCAGCAGGCAGCATGACAACAGCCTTGTCAGACACCCTAGGCCTGAACCACCCAGCTAAGCTGCTCCGGGATTCCTGGCCCTCAGAAACTGTGTGGGATCACAAATGTTTGTTCTTTTAAGCTGCAAAATTGGGGGTAATTTGTTATGTAGCCATATATAACTAACACAGAGTTTTTTGAGGTTTCTGACTCAAGTGACAAGATGGATGGTAAAGCTATCAAACAAGAAAGGAAAATTCAGGAAGGGGGGAAAGGGAGGAAGACAGAGGGTGTCCACCTGTTTGTTTATAAAGGGCTTCACACATCACACAGCAGAGGACACTTTATACGCACAGAGATTGTGTTTTCCTAATCCCAAACAGTGTAGCGTCCGACAATGAGACTATGTGTCTGAAATTGAACCTACCTCAAAAAATTTGGCAGTGATGATTTTATAAAGTCATAAGTATTGATGTTGTAGGCACATTTGAGTCAGTGTACCACACACAAAGTGGGGGAGGGGGGAGGATACTTCCATTGAATGGATTAAAAACCAGCACGCATCACCATCCTTTCCTCCCCAATTCTGCATTATATAGAATTTTGTCCTGATCCCTCTGTCATCTTCTTCAAGGCTCTTTCTGCCATTTTGTGCCTGGGCACCTGAACTCTACCATCAAGGGGGTTAATTACCTGGCCAGGGAGCTCTCACCTCCAACCTCCCCAGTCTTCATAATTCTCTTTTCCTACCTGCCCCTTTACATGGCTAGGGTATCCTTTCTGCTAAAGTCAAAAATGTGTCTTACTAGCTTTCCATTTGGTGTCCAGAGCTAGAACTCTGAACATGTAGATCAGTCATCAATCTAAAAGCCACACCCATTAAATATGCCCATATCTGAAAGGAGACTCAAACAGTTTCTTATTGCAATATTTTCATCAATAGGAAGACAGTCACGTGAGAGAGGGGTCCTAGACAAAACTTCTTCCAAAGGCATCTATTACAGTGACCCTAAGGGAAAAGAGAAAGAGTTAACAGAGAGAATGCTTTAGTTTTAAATACTATTTTATTCAGTGGAATGCAAAAAATTCAAGGAAAATAAAGAAAACACAAAATTTGAATAAAAGTTTCCATTTTTAAAGTTTTTTTCTTAGGTACTTGAAGATCAAAAAGATATGAAGTCCCATTTCTTTCTAACCTTGTGAGAACACCTTCACAAATTCTTGACCCCGTCCTTGTTCTCATCACAGTGTTTTTAAAGAGCACACCTCCCACATACCACACTAAAGTAAACATCTTTCCAAGAAGTATGCTGTGTCAGATTGTTACACATGTGTTCCTTTCACCAGTCATTTTTAAATATCACCTGCTATCCAGAATCTGAATGATGAATGCAAGAAAGACCATTCAGGTTCAAGAGCTGGCACAACCCTAAAATGGCTAAATGAAGGTAGAAAGATGCGGTTTTCTACTTCCAGATATTTCATTTTAGAACTAGAATAATGGGTAAGAAGAAATTATTGACAATTACTTAAAAAGAAATACTCTTTTATAGCTTCAAATGTATTTTTAATTATTCTCCAGAGAACACTGGTACTGGTAAATGTGGAGGACGGCTCTTACAAGGGGGGGATTTCAGGGTAGAAAAATGGTGACCCTTTCCGAACTTGAAGTTTTTTTTTTAATAAACTTTTTATTTTAGAACAGTTTTAGATTTATTTTTTTATTTTTTTATTTTTTTTGTCTTTTTCCATGTCTGGCAATGGATCGCAACCCTCAGTGTCGCCCCCGCACCAGACCGGGACTGGCAACGGGATCGCAACCCTCGGCGTCGCTCCCGTGCCTCGCTCAGCCAGTGAGCGGGAACTGGTCTGCATGTGGGATCCGATCTGCATGTGGGATCCGAACCCTCGGCGGGAGCGCCGGGCGTCGCTCCCGTGCCTCGCTCAGCCAGTGAGCGGGAACCGGTCTGCATGTGGGATCCGATCTGCATGTGGGATCCGAACCCTCGGCGGGAGCGCTGCCACGCTTCCTAAGTGGCGCACTATCGCAGTGCGCCACCGGGCCAGCCCTTAGATTTATTTTTAAAATTATAAAGACAATGCAGAGTTCCCATATACCCCATACCCAGTTTTCCCTATTATCATCATCTTACATGAGTATGTTATACTTGCCACAACTAGTGAACCAATATTTATACATTACTATGGACTAAAATGCAGACTTTCTTCAGATTTCCTTAGCTTTTTCTGAATGACCTTTCTCTGTCTCAGGACACCACATTACATTTAATCATCGTGTCCCCTTAGGCTCCTCTTGACTGTGACAGTTTCTTAGACTTTCCTTGTTTATGCTGACTTGGATAGTTTTGAGGAGTACTGATCGGATATTATGTCAAATGTCCCTTGTTTGGGATTTATCTGATATTCTTCTCATTACCTGATTGGACTTAAGGGCTTTTGGGAGAAAGACCACAAGGATGCCATTTTCATCACTTCACACCTAACACAACGTATTGCTGTTGATGCTGACCGTGACCATCTTGCTGAGGTAGTACTATCAGATTTCTCCAGTGCAAAGTACTGTACTCTTTGGAAGGGAGTCACTGTTGTGTAGTCCACACTTCAGGAGTGTAGAGTTACACTACACCTCCCTGAGGATGGGATATGTACATAATACCATTTGGAATTCTTCTGCACCATAGACTTGCCTATTCTTCCCCACTTGTTTATTTATTCAATCATTTATCTATATCAGTTTGGACTCATGGATATTTATTTTATACTTTGGGTTATCATCTAAAACTACTTTATGTATTTTGTTGCTCAGCTGTGGCTGATAGGAACTCTTCCAGGTTGTTCCTTGTCCCTTTGGCACAGCCCCAAGTTGTGGGCTGCTGTTACTACTGTATGAGTGCTCCATTTCTTTCTGATGCTTCAAGATGCCCCAGGCTCCTCTTGCATATTTCATGCCCCAGTCCTAGCCATTTCTCTAAAGAGCCCTAGTTCCTTTTATTGGAGAATAGTATTAGAAACCATGATCTGGGAGCTAGGGGTGCTCGCTGCTTCCAGACCCCCTCGGCTGACAAGCAAAGAAATATATGTATGTATACTAACCCTTGGAAACAAACATATTTAAAATTATTTCTATGTGCAACTGTCCGTATCTATATTAAACATGAGTTCAAAGTTATGTCCTCAACTCTAATCCATTACTGCATGGATCATTCTAGCCATTTCCCTTTGCTAATCTGTAACTTCCCCCTTCAATTGTGGGAAACCTGGCTCCCACCATCTACCATCCAGTTACTGAACTGCTCGATTCCAGTATACATATATAGTGGTACCAGAACTGTTAGCCTGTACCCCTGTAGCAAACAACTTTGTCAACTGCACTACAGTGTTTATGTACAGTTCCTTTTGCCTTTAGTCTTACAGACTCCACTCATTTCCAGAGTTACTTAGGCCAGCACCTTTCCCCCCTACCCCCTTCAGTGAGGTTGTTTCATACATTTATAATAGGTAGATTGTTGGGTCACATTTTGCATTCTATCCTGGATCGTCAGACCCAAATAAATAAATGATTATTTATTTATTTCTTATCAAACAAAATGATTTAGGTTTTATTCTCAACCATGATAGGATGAAGGTAGGAAGAGGAGAAGCCACTGATGGAACTTGAAAGGAACAATTCCAATTTAGAGATTTTCTTAAGTTTCTGTCTAATCTCTACTTAAAAATGAAATTTAGGAAAAGCTAATGTAATTTATTTATTTTTAAAATATACTTGAAAACTTTGCATACAATAAGTGACATGGTAAAGATAAAAAGCAAGAAGTCACTCCCTTTCATAACTGAGACATGGATTTGACTAGGAGCTTCCAGGCACATTTTTCAATTTTCCTACCTATAAAACGGGAATAAAAAGTTTCTCATCCAATTTATGGTAGGTGTATACTGATAGTATTCTGCCATTCAAGGGTAAACATGTAACAACTACGTTAGTTTTAATAAATGTGGACTCTACGCCCTGGAGGAAATAAAATCTACCTAATTATATTTTCCAAAAAACTGTAAAATTTTATATTTTCACACAATTATATTCATAAAGTATTGTGATTCTGACAATTACTATTCATTCACATCATTAAGGAATTATTTCTGTCTAGCAAGCTGGTATCCTCAGTCATTTTAATGTCCTTAAAATATCCAAACAGTGGGGGCCAGCCCGGTGGCGCACTGCTACAGTGCGCCGCTTGGGAGCGCGGCGGCGCTCCTACCGAGGGTTCGGATCCCACATACAGACCAGCCGCTCACTGGCTGAGCGCGGTGCGGGAGCAACACCGAGGGTTGCGATCCCGTTGCCGGTCCTGGTCCGGTACGGGCGCGACACTGAGGGTTGCGATCTGTTGCCGGTCACGAAAAAAGACAAAAAAAGGAAGAAAAAAAAAAAATATCCAAACAGTTACCAGTACATGCTTCAATTTACTCTTAAGCATATGGGAGAGTTTAGACAGATTTGGTGGTCATTCATGGAAGATTATCTTGACTATACTAAAATTCCCCCCAAAAAAGAAAAAGAGAGAGAGAAAACATCTTTCTAGGGTTCCATTTTTAAAATAACATTTCTTATCCTCCTAAGACTGTATAAATGACATTACAATACTAACATATAATCACAAACTTACAAGGATAGAGTTTAAACTTCTGCTGTGATCATGCACTTCATTGAATTATCAGAAAAAGTAGACATCAAAAGTAAATTCACCAAGTCAACATTTGTAGTAGCAAAATGTGCCCAAGGACCACTTTAGTTTCTTTATAGAAGTCAGCATTTATCCATAACTCATTCCTACTCAACACTGGTGTGTGTAATCTAATCTCTTTTGCTGGAGTGAGCACTTAGGAGAAAGCCATGTCTCAGGCCATTAATATTTCTTCCAAACACTGTCAATAGTTTCTTCTTTCTCATTATTCTTATTCAAAAATGAAACATCTGGGAGCATAAAAACTACAATTTCCTAGTTAAATATTCAGAGACAGTATATTGTTAAACCTTATTGAAAATCTCACCTTTAATGACTTCAAAAAATTTGAAGACACAATAGGAACATCAGTTTCTTTCCTTCGCAGCCTCCAAAGAATATCCAACAACTTATTCTATAAATAAATCACTATTCTTTTGTACCAATGTAACTATGCACCAATGCTGCAATTTCCCACAGGCTGCGTCGGACTCTAGCAGAAATAAGACAGGAAGCGAACTCATTCTGAGCAGGGCAGGAGACCAGAGCAAGATTAAAAAAAAAAAAGAAATGGGATAATTAAAGCCCAAAGTCAAAGTGATGCTTTAAAAAAAAATCTAAAAGTTTTATGGGGTGTGGGATGAGGAAGAGATGTAAGCAATTGCCGAAGACCACTGCTTCAGTTAAGGGAATCCAGTGCTATGAAAGAGGGCTCTCAAACTCAGCTAACAGAGGTCGACATCCCTCCGTCCAAGCTATGCAATCATTACCGCACTGATTTACACATTAGCACAAAGAAACAGTTAAAATAATGAGGAATCAATAAAATTTGATTTAAAAATTCTCAAATTTTGAAAATCTGAGCAATTGTTGGAGGAAGGGCAACAAGAAAAGAACAAATGGATGCCTGAACGGATCCCCTGGAAAATGATGCCTTATCAACTCTTTCTCCCTGCACTAAAAATCTGAAGTTTTCTTGGTACAAAACACCAAGAATCACAAGGAAGCCAAAAAAAGCCAGTGTGCCATCTCAGCAGGACTGACTGTGACACTTCTCAGAAACGGATTTTTCAAGTGTTCTGGGGGTTCATATTGTATGACAGCTGACAAAGTCCAGGGAGACATAGCTGCCAAGAGACAGGTTCAGTAAGAAAGTCACAAGGCAGAGCTGGCTTTATGCGAAAGCACTTTGCCAGGCTTTACATTGACCCAACTTTGCAATAGTTTGCTCTCTCGGGGGGACTTTGTAGGAACTTTGAGAAAGGATTCACTCAGAGACCTATCACTCCCATCTACAGCACTGGAAGTCGCTAGCAGAGATTTCAACAGCGTGCGAGGCTCAGGATTTAGTCATTAAGCTTGGCTTTCAACCTCCTAACTCAGAAATACAGGGGCTTAGTAAAGTAATCTTTTCATCCTGACTTAAGAGAGGTAATCCTATCAAGGGTTCAGCATGCCTGGGAATTTACCTGCTTCACGGTGGGTCTAAGGATTTGAGGGTACCTGTGTAATGCCAGGGAATAAACAGGAGAATCTCTGCAGAGTTGGTCCTTTGTCTAAGAGCATCCCTGCAATGTACGAGGTTAACAAGCATGGGACTGTGGAGTGCTCAGATAACCTACCTGCCACTCTGGTCTGAAGTCCATGTAACTGATCGTCCCTCAGGTTTGGTTTTGTACCAGATCCTGATGGCATGAGGAAAGTCAGTAGCTGTCGGAGCCCCTGTCTTCCTGATCTGTAAGCTCCAAGTGTTAGTGTCAAAGAAGAGTTCCCCACAGCCAGGAGCCTGGCTGCAGCGAGCATAATAGTCTAACTGCTCCCTCCAACGATCTGCAGCCAGAGTCACCAGTTCATGTACAATCTGATTCCTGAGCTTCTCAGAAACAACCGTGAACTTGGCAGACCTTGTAAATTTTTCAATACCTGGAACAGCAGCAACATCCACCTCCTCAACCTTTAACACAGATAAATCACAGCAGTCCAGCACTAGCAAAAAATCCCCACTCCCATGATTCCCTGTGTCACAGCAGTACTTTGAGCTAGAAATCCCAGAAGCCTGTTCCCGGTTGTCTTGGTTACCATCTTTATCAGAAGTATCTTTTTCACTCTTACTACAGATTGCAAAATCACTATATCCCATTTTAGATGAGAAGGTCCTTGCATCTGTCACAGGAATAATGCAGGGTTCGGGTGTCCTAAATTTGCAGGATTCGTTTGACTCCAATTGGCAGGTTTCCTCAGTGGAACTATTTTGTTTCTTGAATCTGTCTCCGTCCTCAAAGAAAAGCACTACGTTACCCTCAATGACTTGACTTTCAAAGTCCACATCGAAATCCAGTACATAGTGCTTTACAAGTATGTGGCTGGTGTTGGCCATGAGAGGCAGGTCATCTCTGGAAGGGTCCAGCTTTGCATCCATGGTGTAGTTTGTTGTTTCAGAGCTTTGTTAAAATCTCAGATGGAGCTTCCTATCTGCCTTAATCTTCCAGAATCATAAATGGTTGCTCACCAAAAAAACAACTGATATCACAAATTATGTTTCCACAACTTTAATTCCCCTGGCAAAGAAGAAAAACACAATTAGACAAAATTTCAAATAAGACTCTAAATGCTCCTGCAACCGCTGCTCCTACAAGTTGACTACTACCATTCTTAAATAATCCCCCAATGAGGTAGATGCTCACGGCTAAAAGGCAGACTAATCTTCTTGACTGACATGAAAGCAAGCTGCATTATGGGTTCTAAAAATATTTTAATTACCAATGGAATGTAATGGGCCTCCACAAAGCCAGAAGAATCATGCTCCTAACAAGAACAGTCCTTATTTTGAAAAAGAGCAATTGTTATGCAAAAGTGTAACTGAGCATCACTATGCCTCTTGTTTTAAAAGATATTAAATTTATCATTTCTAATTTTGCGCTTCAAAAGATAAGTGATTAAGTAATTGTTTCTCTACTGTGATTCTGAGTAACAAGTGTGAATGAAGGCTAAATGGTCTCATACATTTTGTTCTTTGAGAGTAATAATTTAATACACACAATGTAACTCCAGGGATTAATGTACTTTTCACATTAGGACTGCTCTCATATCAGCACTTCCAGTAAATTACAGGAAAATGAGCCAATTTACCAGGAGTGCATTCTAAGTATTCCTTTGAAATTGTTCATGGAGATTTTTCAAATTTATAGTTGAATACTCAAGGTATATCATTACATCTTAATAGCTGAAAACCCATTAACATTCTGAATAATAGCCTTCTTGTGGCAAACAAAAGGTCTTCTCATTTGGAAAAAAAAAGAGAAAGCATACAAATACCTATAAAAGGAAGGAGAGAAATTAAAATGTAGAAACAGATGTTGCAATAAAATGCACAAGTTCTTCATAAAAGTTCTGAATCAAGATGTATTCTTATTGTATAATAGCAATTCAACTAAAAGAAAAATTATTTGACATTATTTCAGTCCGTGTTGTGTACCTAATTTCTTTCAGCATATGCTATTCTTTTTCTGTTCTTTTCCTGAAAATGAAAAAGCAATGGCAGGGGAAAAGAAATAAAAACCCTGACAGGGTAGATATATTTAAACTAATTTTTGTGTTTCTAAATATCAGGGGCATTCTTTGATCAACGCAAAGCAGCATTAACTGCTTGACTTTTCATGTAAATTGAGCCCTCCCTTTCTATTCTGCTTAACTCCTCCTTGCTTCCCTTCCAACCTTACTTGCCTCTCTACTAGACTCTTCTATTTCTCTTCTTTCTAGAATCTCATTCTAGCAATCGACCGTACTGAATTTTCAATTTCTACCTCTCCACAGACTATTTCCTCATCAAAATTTCACTTAACCTTAAAAACATATGGCCTCCTGCAGCCTTGCACAACCTGGTTTCAGGCTGTTTGTCCAGTCATGGAGACTATGCTCCCTTTGCTTCCTTGTCCTCTAGGCAAAGCGCCTGCTCAAGACACTGGTCCCTGAAGATGACCTGCCTTCAGGCCTCCTGCCTCCTAGACTAAACCATGTGTCCTACTTGGAGCGTTCCTGGCTCTCTCCTCCCACATCCGTCTGCCAAATCCTATTCTTCCTCATGCCCCAGTTCAAGTACAGCCACGTCCCAAAATCCTTCCCTGGTTCTTACTCCCTCTCCTATGTAATTGTATGTGATTGATGACTTTAAGGGCAACGGGAATAGAGAGAAATCAGGGATGCAAAGAGTAGTCTAAGATGACTCTTTGGAGAAGCTGGTAACTTCCCTTGGTCCTAGAAAGTTACTGGGCACAGGGGATAAGCCAGGGCATTTTTTTTTCTGCCTGAGAGTGATTGAACTCGTCATTTAATGAATCATAATCTTTGATAAAGCCATTGACTATCGGTATGTAATGAGAAAAGACGACGTTAAAAACTTCATCTTGTTGGCATTTGGGGCTGCTAACATGCACTATTTTCTTGATTGGGCTTTAAAAAACAAAAAAACTTGTTTAAAAAACACAAAAAACAAAACCCTGACCACACACACACTGGGGGGGGGGGGGGGGGAAGAAAAACC